TTTAATTCCATATTTATATATATTAACTCCATTATTTCTGTTATATATCAATCAAAATTTAATAAGTATTGTAATAAAATGTAGTTTAAATTTAAAAATTTGTAATTAACGGACATTAAGATATAAATAATTATCAGGTATACCAATTACAATTAATCTAATAGAAATGTGTCAAAAACACTAGGACTCTACTATCCTTAAATATGACAATGTAAACTAATAAATCATAGAATTTGCACAAATTATAAAATATTCATAAAAAATATGTGCAAATATTAGCTTTTTTCTTCTCAATTATTATAAATCTATTCACTAAATCGGAAATAGGAAACAAAACAGGAAATACCAATCTTCAGTTATTATTTGAATTATTTTATGCATTCATGATGGAAATAATAGTATTAAAAAAGCAAACAATAAATTTCATAAAGTTGAACAACATTATTAAATGTGGCGTGCTTCGGTCGAGGAACACATAAATTCCAAAACTATGTTGGTTCCCGACTCTTTTATTCCTCCCATTCCATTGGCCTTGGCAGAAGCGCGAGGGGTTGAAGGAAAGAAATCATAATTCATTTCAGTGCGGAAAATTTATCGACGATGATAAAAAGGACGGAAAAGAAAAAATGAAGAAGGAAATGAAGAAAAACCATAAATGATGGAGTGATCATAATTTCCATGGATTCCATTCGATCAAAATTTTAGACTAAGTTCATCAGAAACCAATAAAACTGAAGTAAAAGTAAAAGAATTGGGAGAAGAAAACGCTGCAAAAAGAAAGAAATGAACGAGAGAGGGAATGAGAAAAACATGGAAGAAACTGCCGGATAAATTGAAACCCGTGTTCGGGTTTCGAGTGGATATTTTCGGAAACTGCTAATTTTAACAACCCTCTTTCGGCCGTAACTGAAATGTAATTAAATTAGTTTTACTACTTGCAACTTCCGCCTTTGCGGCACGAACAGAAACCTATCGATTCCGAAAGACTTTTCCGCCCTTTCCAAACCAAGATATACACACATACACATATGCGAAGCGCAGTTTTCCCTCGACGTTTACCAGTTTTGTTTTTTATTCTCTATTTTTATTAAATTTCATTTCGGCGCTTGAATTCCGCGCGAGATGCGGGCAAAATACAAGGAATTCAACGTGTTCGTTTTTTTTTTCATTTCACTTTTAGAGAATACCATATTCTATATTAATAAATAATTTATGAGGGTTGAATGCAGTTACAAATTTTGCACCCGCTGCAACATAAACATTCAATTATTCGCTATATTAACCAAATTTACTGTCTTGTGCAAATTTTCTTCGGTCTCCGGGGCATCTCGCATCTCGCTTAATATGCATGCTATTTTATCGTGGTGCTCGAGCATGTTTATTCGCGTTTACTATGTATTCCGAAATATCGCAACAATTGAATTTCCAACGTAATTCAACGGTTCTCTCGCTCTGCTGAAACTGGAGCATAAACTGAGATAAATAGTATAAATTTATTATACGCAGCTTCAATGTAAAAAAATAATAATTTAAAATTAGATAACTTCAACAGATATGAAAACATATAGAATAATTACAGTTTTGATAAAAATTAAAAATGATCTTTAAAAATAATTGCAGCTACAAATAAATAATTATAAAGTTGTAATTGAGAATTGAAATTAAAAAAACATTGGACTGAATAAACTAAAACTACAGAAAAGCATTATAAAAGGAACATTTTATATAAAATTGATAATACATGGAATTATAATTATGTAAAATACAATTTTTACTAAAGTTTCCAATGAAATATATCAAAATCTAAACAAAGGTGACGATGACATTGGTAGTTCATAAAAAGCATTGGATTTTAATATATTTAACATTAAGAAACGTACATTTTGTAATAAAGTTTGGATTCATTCGAAGATTTTCATTAGTTATTTGAAAAAATTAAAATAAAAACTGAATTCTCCTTGTAATTCAGTTTTCATTGTCAAAAAAATATATTTTAACAACTTTATTTTGTTTAGATAAGATTCATCTTCAGTTTAGAAAGTAAAATAGTTTTTTTCATTGGTTGATGCCATTAAACGTTTACTGGTCTATCAAGTTAAAATCTAAATTGATCAGATCATCAGATTATTTGAATATATGAGGTTTTCAAATACTATAAATAATTTAATTATTTTGGATATATCAATTTATTTTACTTTAAGAACTTTCAAGTCACTGAAATTACTTATATAATTACGAAATTTTTTGGTTGTTTTATATAATGTAATAAACCTATTTAAGAAAATAATTGAAAGCACTTTTGATAATTTAGTTAATTGAAAAATTAGAATTATCAATTTAGTTTACTTCAATAATATTTTGATATATTTTAGGGAATTGTATAATTTCATGTGCAACAAAATATTTATAACGTTTTATTGCAAATATGAATAAATATAATTTCCATTAAAATTTATGTTGCTTGTTGGTAATTTATAATATCTTTTAAAAAAACTGAAATGAATTTCTCATATAATTTACGAAAACTTTTAAGAAAAATGAAACTGATGATTTCATAAGAAAAAGTTTGAGAACAATTTGATAAATTGGAATTATTATTACTTAAAAACTTGAATTTACTTTACTTCACCAATCTTATGATATTTTTAAAGAATTGCAAGATTTCATGTGTAACATATTTACAACGTTTTCTATCAAATATGAATAAATGTAATTCCAATTGAAAATTTAATTGCTTTTAATAGGGATTAATTTCTCATTTAATTTATTCTTCTATAGAAATATGCGAAAAATTGAAACTGATAAATTCATAAGAAATAGTTTGATAACGCTGTTGACAAATTAAATATTTTTAATCTATTTACAACTTTGTAAAAATTGATCATGTATAGAAAATATTTACAAGGTTCTGTTACAAATATTAATAATTATAATTCCAAATTGAAATTTGCATTACCGGTTGTTAAGTTTTTGAACATTGATGAAAATAAACTGAAACAATGTTTCATTAAATTTATCGCTCTATGGAAATATGCACGTTTCAGAATGTTGTTATGAAAGTGAAGTACCATTCAGAAAAGTATTTCCAGGGCAACATCAAAGCGGAATAATTTTGTATAATTATGAGTGCACGAGATTAAAACGTCAATATGCGCATTTTCCGCAATTTGCTGCGTTACATAAAGAATGCTCCGTTTGAAGGAGGGGAACGAAAATTCCAACAGGTATTAATCGTGTAATTATATGTGGCGTGCTAACGTGTTAATTATATATTCCTTCTCGACGATTTCGAAAGGCGTTCATCGGCCTGTAAGGAAAATCATACGAAACGTTGAAGCTTATACTTGTGTGTGTTCCGAGAATATATTTTAACGATTTCTATCTGTATCGGCTTCCATCATCTATTGTGACCTAACCTATTTATAGTCAGCACAGTAAAACCATTCTGACGTAATCACTCCTCCCCCGTCTACGTTGACTTGATTGTATCTAAGGCCTAATTTAATCTGTCTATCTCTCTCCAATCCCGAAAACTACCTCGAAACTTGCTCCAAACTGTTATCTAATGAACTTAATTAGTTAATTAATGTAGATTTATAAATAAAACAATAAATATAATCTAACATTATATAAAATTTTAATTAACAATTGTTTCCTGTACTTTTTGTTCTTTAATTTTCAGTAAAAAATATAATATATTTAAGAAAATATACATCTATTTTAAAACTACTCTATTAACAACAATTTTGGAGTTTGATGCAAAATGAAAGAAAAACATTATTTGTTTTCTCAAGAAAAAACAATATCTACTGTAAAAGTTCAGTATTGCACGAAATTATCAGTTATAACATAAAATATATAATTTGATATAAGTTTTTATAGAATAAAAGTTATACGAAGAGTTAAAAAAAGGAAAATTTTGTGAAGAAAACTTAAAAACTTATTATAAGAAAAATATTCACACCATTTTCTTCATCTTGATTGAAGTTAATTTTATAACATGGCATACCTTTAGAATTTTCATTTTTTTTTATCTTATATAAAGAAAAAATCTACATTTTGTTTGAAATTCACAAGCATTTGGAAATATAATTTTCTCTAAAAAAAAATCTTTGAAAAATTAATTGATACAAAATTATAATATATTGAGATATTAAAGCAAGGTTTCATGAAATTAAAAATCAACAGAGCGTTGACTAAAAAGTAAAACTGTGTAAGTAATTGCTTCATGGTTAATCTTTATTGAGATGATAGAAGCTCATCCCCAATCGCAATTCCATCAAGATCCGAACAAAGGTCACGTTCTGGATCGTTTTAATTAAAATCAATATGGGAAGCTTCGTTGATAATTTCATTACCACATTGCCTTCCCCATTCGAGTGTTTATATCCACGATTAACTTAGCTCAGTAGTGTTCATGCAATTATATATTAGATACAAACGATGATATCCGAATGAATATAGTCAGCGCTTAGGTAACGTAGATCTTATCAATTTACGTTCGATAATACGTACATAATAATAATGTACGTATTATCGAACGTACGTACGTAACATCCGATCGGTGTTTGTGTATAGAGCATCTGTATTCCAATATACAAATATCCAGTAAGCAATTATAATGTAGTATTAATATTATATATTTTACTTTTCTTCAAATCAGATTAAAACATCCAAATCAACGTACAGAATCTGTACTTACGTCTAATCGTGTCAATTGAACTACTATGAGGTTATGCATCAAACGTTCATATATGTATATTTGATTATATATTGGTATATATTTGAAATAATTAAGGTAAGAAGCTTAGTTTTGACATTGTACGTTTGTTCGAAGGAAGAGTCATTTGTGTATCAAAAATTGGTAAATGCATGTATATAGAATTTCATCATATAAGCGAATGTAGGGAAAGTAGTAAGAAAAGTTGTGTACGTTAACTGAACACTAACTGTTTGTAGAGGTTGTTATGTGGAGTGTTTTCTTGTAGAAGTTGTGTAATTGTACATACCTGATGCTAGACAAACCATTCGTCTTTTTGACTTTGTGAGACGAGGTCCGCGTCACCGCCATTGGCGGGCGCGTGCCTCACTTTGCCTGGCAGTAAAGGCGGCCCCGGACCGGCGTGCTGAGGAGGAACCCGAGTGGTCCCGCAGGGTGGTACCAGTTTCCCTGCACCGGAAGTGTCGTCATTGAGCCTTGCTTCATCGCTCCATTCGAACCGTACATTTGTTGAACTGCGACAGACACGAGAAACAAACAAAAAAAAACATCAAATGTCAATATAAACGTCAAATAAGTATAAGCCATCTATTCATAAGCATATAACTAAATTTGGTAATGTGTACATTCTCATTCCTGTTTCAATAAATCCAAACAATATTTCGTAAAGTGGAAATTTGCAACATAGTTTATCGAATCTTAATATCTTTTATGTAACAGAATATATATTTTTTTGTACAATTCAAAGACAAAACGAGAATTTGTAAAAACATGTCAACCTACTAAAGTAATCGCAATTCAAAGTTTGAAAGGATGTAACTCCTGTACTTCATTCAATTTAACATCGAAAAGCAGGAACTAAGTGTATTTAAAGTAGATACACTCTTAGCTCTTAAGAAGTTAAATAATAGTAATAATTTTGGTAAGTTGATGTATGTTATATATTTTTTAAATATTTTTAATTACAATTCTTATAATAATTATTACATTGATGTGAAATTATATGAAACATATATTGTTTTTTATTGTAATCATTGCGTAACTGCTTACATACCTAAGAAAGTTATTTTATTACATAACAATGAGATAAATATTTATAAAAATAGTCATTCTTTAAATAATCCAAAGATTTGTCTAAACTAGGACCGTTTTGAAACAAAAAGGCATTTTTAAGATATTGCCTAGTCCAAAGAGCCGCACGTAGCTTTAATATCGCTATTTTTACTAGTAAAATGAACTTTTCGACATACGGCAGAAGCCACAGCTGCGAGAATTGGGAGCCACAATTTCTTATCAATTAAGCCGCATGCGGCTCCGGAGTCGATGATAGCCGGTTAAAACACACAGAAGTAATGATAAATAACTAGAGTTTATATGTATAGTATAAAGTAATTGGATTTGTGTTTACCATTATAAATAAATATAGTGAAATATTGATTAAAGAAACATTTATATCAAAATGTAATACTAAAAAAAGTATTAATTATTTTTTTTTTATAATTTTAGAAGCATACCTTCAAAGAAAAATTATTCTCATTTATTGTGTAGCCTTTTTGAAAAAAATTCACTTTTGCTTTATAACGAAAATGCGCAACATAATTTCTGTATAGAATGATGTAATACGATTTTATATATATGGAAATTATTTATTTTTCATAAATATTAATGAATGAAATAAGCAGTTTCACCTTTGATCTAATATTTGAGTTAAAATATGAAATTCGTTCCATTAACTTAGAGCATTGCTTGCACACTCATTTCTTATGTAATTAAACGAGATGATGGTACTTTTCTCGTTGCTCGTCGAGTTCGTGCACTTTACACGGAAACTAGTCCAATTAAAGTTTCCGACTTTCGATCGTATCTGAATGAGGGTGTAAGTTTTAGTTTCGTATGGTCGATTAGATATAAACCCATTTTCTTGAAATGCTCCGCTTGTATTTTCCAGTTACTGACACACCATCAGATACATTCGTTAAGAGTTGAATATAAACGAGGTCTATCAAAGACTTTTGTCTCGAAACTCGTGTTAAGATCGTTTTCATTTTGCATATTCTCTAACTTATAGCACTAACATTTCATGTATAAATATTGCTTTTATAAATTTATTCTGTTGAATTTAACATGAAAAGCTTTTAAACTAATTTAAACTATTTATTAGCATAATCATGTAAAATATAATTGCATTTAATATTCATAGAGCTATAATTTTCTATTCATATGAGATGAGAAAGTTTCTACAATTGAACAAGAAATTTAATTTACTAAACTCATAATTATTATTCATCATAATTATATATTTTTTCATATTTTTCAGTCAATAAGCACTGAAGTTAGTCCTAAAATTTCAGTATAAGTCGAAAACCTCGTAAGTAAAAAATAATGTAATACAAATCTGTATACAATTGAAGGAATTTTAAATTGAGTGTTGAACAATTCCTGCATCCACGAAATGTAGAAAGTTCGCTCAACCGCAAAGAATTCAGTATTTGATAGACTGTTTATTCTGACATAAAATTTTGATAACTACATTTATTTACATCATTGTTAAGAGAAATAAAAGTAGATTATCACATTTATATAATATACACATACAAAAATTTGTCAATGTCACAAGGTTTCTACGCCACATTTTGTTTAGTTCTATAACTGTAACTTTCAGAAGGATCATGATATAACTGATACTATAACTACACTACATTTCAGTTATAAAGTAAAGATTAATGTGTTTTATGTAGCCAGTAAATGTTAGAAAAAGTTATAACAACATCAACATTATTGTTACTATTATTATTTATCAACCTGTTGCTTTTAGTGCAAGTCTATGAGAGGTTAAATAAAGCGAAGGACGCTTCGTGTATTGTCAGAGGTAAATATAATAGGTAGTAGTAAATTTCGTACTCACGTGAGTAATTCTGCTGCTGACCGTTATTTCCTGGTCGACTGGCCAAACCTCTTCGACATAGGCAGATAGACACAACCACAATGCAGACTGCTATCAGCAGGAGAGTGCTGACAACTACAACCACAAACCAGGTCATCTCCAACCCCATTATCGTTCCGGTATCGTTATCTGTAAAGAACAAAAAGAAGACAATTAAAGAAACTTACGTCAATTTTCGCTACACGATTTGTTAGTTTATAAACAACAAAATTTGTTTAATTTTAAAATAATAATTAAACAATTATTATTACTAATAAAAAAAATGGTCATTTTACAAAATGTCACAAAACACTATATAACTTGAAAATTATCATAAACTCTACAGTTTCGTAATGAAATTGAATAAATCAAATTAATTGTCAAAAGAAAATTGGATGACTCACACTATACAACTGTCAAATTAACAATGACATAACCTCAATAAAAACAGTATATTAATTATTTACGAACATAATTCAAAACTTTCATTTAATTGATGAATGAAAATGATCATAATCTGTTGTTTTTAGCATAAAACATTATCATCAATCATGAAGTTTCTAATGAAATTTATTAATTCACACGCTACAATTGTCAAATAAAAATTGACATAACCTAATGAGAAACAGAATAATGTAAAAATAGAATAGTAACGTTTCTTTCGTGACATCTTGTAAGTAAATCTTCTATATTTAATATAAGTTTTTTATAGCCATAACAAATCATTAGGAGTTAAAAGTTTTATAATTATATTGAATAATCCACACTAGATAACTTTTTAATTCAAATAGTCATTTATTCTCTGCAGAGGTAATAAATAACATGAAAACTAAATAGTAATGTAATTAAAAAAAACATGTATTTTTCAGCATAAGACATTATTAGGAGTCATGAGTTTTGTAATGAAATTGAAAAGTTCACACTATATAACTGTCAAATAAAAATTGACATAACCTTATGATAAAGTGAATAATACGAAAAATAAATAGTAACATTTATTTTATGACAACTTGTATGTAAATTTCATATATTTATTACAACCATCAAAATCTAAATCGCTCTATATTGGCGTGTATTGATATAACTCAAGTAGCAATTGAGTACAGAAGTAATGTCCGCCGTTCGTCCGCAAATGGTTATTTGTTTTCTAGTGCAATTGAATAATTCATAATTACTTTTGTGCTAACCGCTAACGTGGGAACTAAATATTATTTTTTTTCTTTTTATGACAATTTACATTCAAATTTATCAAATATATATTTACTTTCAGTATTACCACATTATTTAATATTTAGTTTCACTGTAATATAAATCGGATTAATATAGAAGTTAATGTATGGAAATGTGATATTATTATACAATAATAATAATATTGAATTTACGTATATTTATTATTGTGCGTTGTTCTGTAAAATCATTTTTTTTTTTAGATATACAAAATATCGAATATAAATATGTGAAAATATTTCCTTTCAATATTGTTACAGATGAAGCTGGAATAGATATTTATTGACGTTGAGATGTTCATGATTCTAGTGTAATGCGACAACTCGAAAGTTTGTAGTGGATATTGAATGTATGTATATAGAAAATCTGTGGACTATAAGTTTCTTGCAAATACTACTGCTACTAGTACTTACTTTGACAGGCTGTGCTGGAAGCTTCGTCGGATCCATCGGCGCAATGATTGATCCCATCGCACACAAGATCCGTGGCTATGCAAAATTCCCGAAGGTTGCATCGAAACTCCGTGCAGGCGTGCTCTGAAATGGATAGGACAGACACACGCATTTACATTTAGAACTATGTTTTAACATTCATAAATATTATATATTCAGAGTTTGCATTCATCAGTTTTGATGCAGACATTGTGTGCACATTATACGTGGATACTGCCACATATCAACGCATTTCATCAATTTCAAATCAACTAATTAATAGTTATTAAAAAAATCTATTAAAGACAAGATTAAATTCTTAAATTCCAAACTTAATAATGAATACTTTATTAAATAGAAAATGTTTGTTGAAAATAATATGAACTTAATAATACTTAATAGAATAATTGAGTAGATCCTGATGATAATGATAATCTTATTTGATCCTACTTTTATTCTGAAACCCTAATAAGATATTTTTAACAAAACTGTCGTTTTTTTTCGATAAATTAGTTTAAAAATATGATATCTTTTACCAATGCATGATCAAATTTCTTTATTTTTCATTATTAATTTGAGCCTACTTTAGCTCTGAAATTCTAAACATGTCGTATTTCGGTTGTCAAAACTACCTAACCTTACTTTGAACCTAACCTAAACACAACATTTTGTATAGCTTAACCTCGCATATAAGTTAGAATAACCTAAGGATGATTTGGGATAAAACTGATTTGTCTTTAAGAATTTAAAGAGTTCCAAAAACTAACAATATATAGAACAACTAAGACAAATTAGTTTTGGGAATGTACTGCATATTCATACATTGCTATGGCTTCGTGTTCAAAGTTTAAAAAAAGTTAATGCTCGAAAAAGCAGTGTTTTCACTTTTAACTGATTTTTTTTAAACTGTAATAGATTGAATAAATCCAAAAGATATGTATAAAAGTTGGATGTTTGTGGAATGTAGCGAGTATTCATACATTTCTAGAGTTTCGTCCATTTGGTTGTAATTCGTGAATGAAAAAAATAACTATCTAAAAAGCAGTGTTTTCACATCTTAGTTATTTTCTCGAAAAAGAATAGATTGAATGGATCCAAAAGATGTATATGAAAGCTGGATGTTTGGAGAATGTAGCACGTATTTAAATATTACTGCAGTTTCATCAATTTGGCTGAAAAATTAACGCTGGAAATAGCAGTGTCTTCACATTAATGTTATTTTCTCATAAGCATAGATTGGATCCAAAAAATGCATATGTAACTTGGATGGTTTTGGAAATGTAGCAAGTATTAAATAAACTAAACTAATTTAACCTCATAGTTAACTTAATCCAATCAAACTTATTGTCAGATCAAATCTAACCTAACAAAAATCTAATTAACCTTACTTGATCTAACCTAATGCAATTCTGTAAAACGTTTGTTATTAAAATTGTATATAACTATGAAATAAAAAATTCTCTGCAATATAAAATAGAGCTGGGATAGTAAATATGAATACTAAATATCCAATGAATGAATGAAATGAAACACGCGTTGATAAATCTTCCGCAAAAAAAAATCGGACAATTGCATTTGAAGTTTCATTTAATTGCAAAACCGGTAACATCAATCAATCAAACCTTTGTATTTACGCCGCGCGGCGACGAACAGAAAAAAAAACTGTACATTTGATATTTTTTAAATTAATCCAACGTGAGAATAATCCGACCATTGAAAATGTTCGATGCCATTAGTGGTGTTCAACGTTTTCACTCTTTTCATTACATTTTTTTTTGTTTGTTGGGTGGTGTTCGGTAACAAAAGGGACGTATTGTTAGTTATTTTTCGCTTGTCCCGTTGTCAGTGTTTGTGTTTGGCTTTTAAAATTTGCCCTCAAATATTTAGGTTAGGTTCGTCGATTAAAAGCAGTTTAGCAAATTGTCAACTGAAATCTGCTGTCGTTACCAGAATTATCGGATTTTCAGCAAATCGAGTCGGTCGTGTGTTGTCACTCCAACTTCAATTCGCAACTGTTATATAAATAAAAGACCGAACACAAATAAACAAAAAAAATAATTGTTTTGTGTATTTCCAACTATTCGTTTTGTCTATTTAACGGTGAGTTTTGAAAACTATAATAGATTGAATAGAATCAAAATATTCATATGAAAGCTGAATATTTGGGGAATGTAAAAAGTATTAATAAATTGCTGTGGTTTCATCAATGTGGAGGTAATTCGTTTTCAAAATTGAAAAAAATGTGTTTCCACATTTTAGTAATTTTCTCTGAAACTGTAACAGGTAGAATTGATCCAGAAGATGAATATGAAAGAGGAATGTTTGGTGAATGTATCGAATGTCCATTTAGTTGTAATTCATGTTCAAATTTGAAAAAAAAAATAAATTGAATTCTCGTAAAAACAGAGTCGGTCGTGTCATCCCAACGTATCCCAACGTAAATTCGCAACTGTTATATAAATAAAAGACCGTATTGTGTATTTCCAACTATTCGTTTTGTCTATTTAACGGTGAATTTTGAAAACTATAATAGATTGAATAGAATCAAAATATTCATATGAAGAAAGCTGAATATTTGGGGAATGCAGAAAGTATTAATACATTGCTGTGGTTTCATCAATTTGGCTGTAATTCGTGTTCAAAGTTGAATAAATAACACTCGAAAAAGCAGTGTTTCCACATTTTAGTAAGGATGCATATGAAAGCAGGATGTTTGGTGAATGTATCACACATTGCTATGATTTAATACATTTGGCTGTAATTCGTGTTCAAATTTGAAAAAATTAAATTGAATTCTCGAAAAAACAGAGTCGGTCGTGTGTTGTCACTCCAACTTCAATTCAGAACTGTTATATAAATAAAAGACCAAACACAAATAATCGTACAAAAGAGATAATTGCTATGTATTTCTAACTATTCATTTTGTTTATTTAACGGTGAGTTTTGAAAACTATAATAGATTGAATAGAATCAAAATATTCATATAAAAGCTGAATATTTGGGGAATGCAGAGAGTATTAAAGCATTGCTGTGGTTTCATCAATTTGGCTGTAATTTGTGTTTAAAAAATAACGCTCGAAAAAGCAGTGTTTCCACATTTAGTAAGAATGCATATGAAAGCAGGATGTTTGGTGAATGTATCACACATTGCTATGATTTAATACATTTGGCTGTAATTCGTGATCAAATTTGAAAAAATGAATTGAATTCTCGAAAAAACACAGTCGGTCGTATTTTGTCACTCCAAAGTCAATTCGCAACTGTTATATAAATAAAAGACTGAAGAAAAATAATTGCATAAAAAAGATAATCGTTATGTATTTCTAACTATTCATTTTGTTTATTTAACGATGAGTTTTGCGGATTCGCAGGACCACGATCAGGACTATAAATAAATTGATTGCATTTATAAATTGTCAGATAAGCACTGAAATAATAATTGCGGCCTGAGCGAGCTTTCATAAAACATTGATACTAATGGAAAGCCAACAATTTCATCTGTCAGAGGTGATTTAATAGACTTATAATTACTCCATGCGAACGCCGCCATAACGCCGATTTATTACGGCCCTTTTGCCCGGATCCTGACTAGATATAAATATCACGAGAGAAACAAATAAAACAAAACAAAAAACAATAAATAAATACAAAAAGGATTTAAGCGATTTTTCGTTGTTATTCGTAAAGTCCCCGTTTTATCTGCAATCAATTGAAAAACCCGCCATTTCCTAACTATCAATTTATCGAAGTCGTAAACTTCGTTTTATCCACATCTCTTTGGAATTTAATAATGATAAAAATTAATCACATAATGTCTATGTAACTTTTTGAAAGTAATCTTTTGATTCATTAATATAGAATTATTGTAATATTTAGTTTATTTTGTTGTATTTTATGTTATATAACGTTTATTTATATTTTTATTGTATCTTAAATTAAAATGGGTTAAGAAATAAAATTAATTAAAACTAAATGTTAAAAATGGTAAATCAGTGTTTCTGTAATGTTGCTTCAAAGTTTGATTAGAATAATCTGAAGTAGATTAGTGCAGAATTTATGTAAACAAAAGTGGTATAAATTTAGTAATTTGTAGCTTACAATACTTGAAGATATTAAATGGATTTAGTAAATTATTGTAGGTTAGGATATGTTCTGAATTTGTTCAGTTAATTTTGACTATGTAAAATTTATTTAGGTCAAGGTTCGGTTAGTCCGCTTTTTGAAGGTCGTAATATTAAAGCACCTAAGATATAATTTGCTATTTTAGTAACTTAAGTTAAGTCATATTTAAACTCAGAATATTTAGATTTTGAAGAAATTTTAATTTAACAAATATATATTTTACATTAACTTAGATTTAGTTAAATTATTTTGAATATTAATATATTTTTTTATAATAGATTTAGTCAAATTAATCTTAGTTTAAATAAGTCAAATAATTAGTTTTTAGCAAAAGGGTAAATGAAGTAGTAGGTTAAATTAGGTTATGGTTATGTGGATGATACAGTTAGGTTAAGATAAGTTATGTAATTATATTTTGTCTAACAAATTGCGGTTCGTATGGTTTTAACGTAACTTAGCCAGTTATAGACTAAGCTTTTAAATTTAAGATTAAGTTGGTTTGAGAAACGTTCATGTATAATTCAACATCTATTTAGTACACAATTTCGACAACATATATTAATTTGGCATGTTTTGATAACTAGCGACTGTATTAAACTAGCTTTAAAAGTTAATTAAAAATAAAGATTCATAACCTCAACATGACGACTTCATTTAAAAGGGTAAAATTGGGCGGATATATCCGCCGCTCGTGTACAAATGATTAAGTTAAGAGATCGTTAGTTTAGATTAAGTTATTTTGAAAAGAGTGTTATTATATTTTTAGTTATTATTAGAGAAGTAAGTGAAAAAATGGTTCGTTTTATGGAATATAAATAATTACTAAAAAAAAAGTCAAGTTTTTAATTTGATGTCTCGTAGGTAAAAGTTTGTATTAATTCGTTGGAAACATGCAGAGTGAACATGCACATGACATCGTATGATTGATATTTGCAGAGCACATAGCAGAGCATCAATGCAGCGAAAAGTTAATTAAACTTCCTTATGCGAGAGAGGTAAAACTATGTAGGAGACACACGACGCAGAGTATGAAATGTCCGGATCAGAAACGGGAAATTGGAATTGGTTTTACTCTAATATGTACGAAATTATGCTAAAAGGAAGATTGTGGAGACAGAATGGAAGAAAAAATAAAATAAAAACGCGACTGGATTAAGGTGTGTTTGTCCCATTTGGAATTGGACTGAGGTCGTGTGTTCAACCGCGGAGCTCGGAGAGTTTCATTCCTTTCGGATATAAGAGATTTTCCTTACATCCATTAGGCTCTTCCAAAGCGCTCGTTACGTTTCTCAAAAGCGGAATAAATTGCGACGCTCCTCAAATGGTCTGGTCTGGTCTCCTCCTGCATGTACACCAGCTTTGTTATTTTTAAATTAAATTAAAGGTAGATGTTTGTGCAGCACAAAGAATGTTTATTCGGAGAAATAGGATGAAAGAGTAAGAGAAGATGAAGAAAGGAGAAGGGAACGACTGTCGAGGGATTTAAGGAAGAAACGTATGCATTTATAAACCGGAAAAGGAGGAAGTATTAGTGGACGACTCACTTGGATCCTTGACAGCGGTGATAACGAGCTTGAAGCCGTTGGAATCCGTTCCCCAGGCGTCCGTAACGTACTTCAACGTAACGTAGTTGGTCCTTGTGAACATCGCGCCCAGAGTCTGTTTCGTGTTTCGACAAGACAGATCAAACTGTAACAATAACAAAAAATTAATTAAGTTTTCGTTAGTACAAAAAAATATAACTAATATAAATATTAAAAACAAACATTTTACATTATGCTTGGTATTGCTGTATTTGTATGATTTCTTAGGTAAATTTGTTTGTTAGTATTTAGAAACAAAAGATGTTATAAACATTATTTAATTGAATCAAATTTGTTTAGAAAATATTTGCAAAAGATGACACATTAAATAATTATTTTCATTTGACTATTCCAATTATCTAAAGTTTGTCCTTGCACAAAGCGAAATTGGAATCTAATTTCTGAAGTCACCAAAGATATTATCTATATACCTATGATATATATATATAAAATTACAGCAAGTTTGTATTTCTGATGGCCCTTGAATCCACTCGACTTTAATCAATTTATGCCCTCCGCCAGACACTCTCCCACGTCCTTCTCACTCCCATTCCCTTCGGACTAAATCTGTCTCCTTCTCTCTCTCTCTCTCTTTCTATGCTGTTCTGACATTCCCATTATAACTTTCGAACAGACAAAGAAGAACTATTCCCGAACTCACCTCCCAATTTCCTGCCCTCATAAAACAATCAATCAATCGAGAATTAACATTGCATTTGGAACTTTCGAACGTGCGAAGAAGTTTAATTTCGAAGAAGATCCTCTTCAACTTCCTTTTTTTATTCTCTTTTAAATTTAAATGATGATGAATGATTAGCATTTAAAACGGATCAACGAGTTTCACATCGCATTGAAAACGTCGCAGTTTCGAAAGTTCTTTAAGTATTGAAGGTGGAATTTATTAGTTATATCTTGCATACCCAATATGTAAGTTTTGAAATTATATTTATTAAATATATGCAGTAATTTTTCGACTTACGCGATTAATTTGTTCTGAAGGTTTTTGCGTAAGTCGAAAATCCTTATTAAGATACATTTTTTTATATATAATATTGCTCTTTTACCATTAAATCGTAAATATTGGAGAAATTGATAATATTGAGTGAAGTAAAAAGTTCTGAGAGTTTTTTTTCTATTTATTTCGTCGGTGAAATTAATAAAGTTTAGATTTAGATCAAAGATGCGCCGTTTTGTTCGATAAATTTTGTCCATTTTGAAGGTAGTTTCATAATTTTGCGATTGCAGAAATCTTCGTCTCTATTGGTAAAATACTTGACAAGCTATTTTTCACAAGCCTCCCTTGAGCTCCCGATAGGAGCAGCTCATAGTGGAGGATTCCCTTCCAATCCCAAAAAACACACTGCAAAACCTTCTTGGTTTGACCGGCTCACCGCGGTTGGACCACGATCTTTTCCACCTGTTATTCTCGTATGTGACCCATTTTTCATCACCAGTCACCATCCTCTTCAATCGAGCTTCTTCTTGAGACCAGCTTTATGCGAATGGTACCAAACGGTTTTCTGGCTAATCTTCAGTTCCTAGACAATGGAATAAATGCTCGCATGTTGATCCGACTCGATGGTTTCCATAATTTTATCAACATTTTCGACGATTGTCTCATCTTCGACGTCCATATTACCAGAACGGAAGCATTAATACCTACGCTTTGCTGTTGCATTCGATACTGCATTGGGCATAAACAACACATTTTTTTGACCCTCTGCTTCGCTTTTCTTCTCGGTCGTAGTGGTTCAGAAGAATGTATCACATTTTCTTTTTTTAATCTCCATTTTGGAACTTTCTAACACAACTGGATTCACTAAACCCAAAACTGTTAAAGAATTTTCTTTAAGGCGTTATATCGCAGTATAGAACGACAAAAAACGCTCAGATCTTTTCCCTTCACCCAATATTTACAATTTTCTATGAACCTTTCAAAATATATTGCAATGACTATTCCATTTTAAATACAAGATTCATTGCAGATCCGCCTTTAAGTCGCAGTATAGAATGACGAAAAACGCTCAAATCTTGTTACTTCACCCAATATTGAGAATTTTCTGGAAAACTTTCAAAATATATTGCAATGACCATTCCATTTTAAATACAAGGTTTATTACAGACCCGCTTTATTGGTCATCAATTTATTAGTCATTAAAATTACATTTTCTTTTCTTGATAAATACATATTTTATGGTTTTCAAGGAATTGTTTTTGTTATTGTTATGAAAAGCTATGAAACTTTTTGCTTAAATAGCAAAGTATGCGAACCGAACATCATCATTCCGAATTCGACCAGAAAACAGAACATTAACATGGAAAATCAACTGATCAAGGAACTGCGTTCAGTGAGGAACAATTTCAAAAGTATTTATGAGAAAATCCCCGTAGAGGATATTCCTTTGGAAGAGGTGGTAGAAGATTTCGATGCAAATGTTGCCCGCGATGTAAGTATTTTGAAAAGTGTATCTATTTGCGTTTAATTGATACTTTGTTGATGATTCACAGATGATCAAAGATTGCGAACATTTGATAGAATTAATTGAAGTGCGACAAAGGGATGCTTTTACCACGTACTCGAAGATTCTTTTGAGATTTGTGCAGAAGATAGAAAAGTTGGAATCTATGAGGGTTCCAGATGATGACGAGGTGGATGAATATTTGAGAAAGTTCTTGAATTACAGTGATGGTATGGACGGGCTACTGCCCAGCTTGAAGGTCGACGTGGATTACCTCGCCAAATATTTTGTCTACATCAACGATAAGATGCAGAATTGTTTGAGAAGCGAAGGTGCGACTAAGCAGAAGAGAGCTTACATGCTAAGTTTGGTGGATTGCTTCAAGACGAGCAACAAGAAGTACGCTAAACTATATCCAGCTCTAAAAGAGATCTTGGACTTTGTGAAATCCGCATTGGAGGATCAAGAACATTCCGTAATGTTAGTAGGTAACGCGATAGAGTACATCAACTCCATCGACGACAGCATGTTCAATGACGAGAGATACATCGATTATTATCTGGAGTCATTCCTCAAGCCTAACGAGGAGATCCAGGGGATTTTGCTTAATTCGCTTGAAGAAGACGGACCTGAAGGTAGAAGATCCAGTTGTTTCTACGATTTGATGATATGTCGCGAGGAAAACCTTGTAGTCAAAAAATCGTTGTCAAAGCTTCTCGATTTCCTGGAGAGCTTCTACGGACACTTCAACTTCTTCCAAAAGCTTAAACTCTCAAATTCAGTTAATTTACTGTACAGCAATGACAAGAAATTGTATGCAATTGAAAGCAAGATTCGTCAAGTCACGAGCAAAACACAATAGTTAATAATAACCACATTAATTATTGTACATGTAAAAATAATCTATAAAAGCTTGAAAAAATGCATATCAATAAACTTTATTATTTAGAATAAAATAATATCTAATTCTCTTTTTATAAAATATAAGGGGTGGACTGTCAATTTCTGGGGTCCTGAGCTAATACTATTTTTGGGGCCCTACGCTAACACTGTTTGGAGCCATGGGCCCCCAACCTTGACCACCACTGTTTTAGGACCCCTTTGATTGGATGGGGCTCTGGGCTATAGTCCATAAAAACCACGTTTAAATCCGGCCCTGTGCATAAAATTGTACCACGTGTAGTTGCCTAAATTGAACCGGTCAAATTATCGAAAAAAGAAACTTAGAAGAAACCTGTAATAATAAGCAGATCGAATAGTGCGGTTTCTATCTGAGCGGATTCACTATAGTACGGGAAAATTTTAAAACAAACTAAATTTTAATTAACCAAATAAATAGAGTACACTTTCAAACATTGCTGGATATTGACCAAACGGATTACTTGAACATTGAAAAATATATTAAAATGTCTGGTTCTAATTAATAATAACCAAAGTATATTTGTTTAAATTATAACTTAAGAAACTAAGACAAAATTACTGGTCCATCCTGGGAAACTTGTTTCCTTGATTGGACCAATTTGATTAGACAAAGTTCTTCAGACTCTTTGATAATAATCAAGTATTTATTGAAAAGTTACTGGAGCCAAATTGACTTAGATTTTTATATAAATTTTATTTTATTCAATTCTGAATTATACATATCACATTATGTGTCAAAATATTTATATAAATTGTCACTAATTACTTATAGTTATTCAAGTTTATTTATGTTGGTATCTGTATAATTGCGCAATATTTCAGTTAAGTTTCACTGTCATCAGACTGAGTGATAAACAACGACTGCCAACTGCAAGATAAACATTATTAGTTAGTGACACTTACGTCACATGTGGATGTATCATAAATAATCTTATGCCGCCTCTGCATTTTACACCATTACAGTATTATTAATGTGAGTATGAGAACTAGAGTAGTATAGCAGTTGAGGATATCTTAATTGGATCGTAAGATTAATCTGAGAAATAGGAGGGAAAAAAAAAAGAAAGATAGGGGCGGGCGCATCGAAGATCTGGATGTTCTCATTAGGGAACTATCGGTAAACATTTTCTTGGTAAATTAATTTCCTTGTAATTTAGAAGGGTTCGGCGGTTGCTGCACGGGACGGCCGTAGGGTGGAGAAGGTGAAGAAGACAGAAGAAGGATGAGTTGGAGGGTGATGCAGCAGCCTCCTTCGTTTCGGGGTTCGGTTTTAATGGATGAGATCTGTTAATCTGATGTGTATCTTGTGAGTGCAACAACATAAGTTTGCGTTTGATTCGAAACTGGATTTGTGCGTTTATCAATCACTGCCCTGTCAGAGTACACCACTCGAGATCCCGATAATTAAGTTCGATCGGATCGAGGAAAATGCAAAACCGTTTCAGGATGTACACATTTGGGCGTTAATCCGTCCTCGATCGCAGCAAATATACAAACACTCAATACTAAGTACATACATGTACGTGTATATATGAACGAACACAACTTCATAATCGATTCCTAATTATATCAATCCTATTTGAAGCCATCACCGAAAACAATACCATCCATTATTACCAAAACCTTCTTGCATTTCCCGGGTCTAATACATAATCAATAACTTTATCTCTGCGGATTTCAAAGCAATTGGCTTCGACATTGAGTATCGATTGACTAGTATAAATAGATTACAAAATCCTACAGCCAATTTTCTACAGTAAAATCTAATTTCTTGCTAACTTATTTATATAAGTAATAAAACGTAAATTAGGGTACAGAGAGAATTGAAATTATATTGCACATTTTAAAAATGAACTGAAATAAATTGAAACAGTAAGTAAGTAAATCTATCAATATTTAAATAAAATCCTAAAATTTTATAACTTTCTTATTCAAAATCTAAATTTTATACTTAACGTAAATGAAAAATCTGTATTTACTAATAATTACAAAAGTTTAAAGTCGATTTTTCGAATAAAGTTTGATTTTTATTGATTTATTGTAAGTTGCCTAATATTGGACCGCGTGCTTAAATTGAACCGGCTAAGAAAATGACAGAAGAAACATGGTCTTATAGCCATTTCATTCATTTTTATGTTTGTATTATTTAATGTTAATTAACTTAACACAAATTAAACTAAATATATTAAATTGTATAGGAGACAAAAGAATAAGATAAAAACAAAAAAAATAATAGAAAAATCATATACACTGTAAAGTATCCAACAACAGATCATTGTTAATTGTATCAGAAGCTCTAGTGTTTTAATTCAATAAAACGTTCAGCGTTTTGCGTTCCCACAAATTATGTCATCTCTATAACAAAAGGCGTCGGAGATAGCAGTTTGTGAAATTCGTTGTTTCACATCGCAGAATTTCATTTAATTAAAGAACGATACAAAATTACAACTATGAAAGCGAATTTTTCAGTAATTAAATCTACGTTCTGCATTTTTAACACAACATATTTATATGTAGTTCAACTCGATTCAATTGTTTAAAACTTAAAATTTAACTTGTTTTAACGTAAGATAACAGCTGTTATTTTATTAATATCAGCCAATAAAAATTAGAAGCAATAATTTAGATTATATATTTTAGAAAAATTAAATACTTCAGTTAATAGAAAGCTCTAAAATTTGATATTTCAATTTATAAAATACCAAATAATAAAGATATGACACAAATTATGTCATATCAATAACAAAAGGCGTCGGATAGCGGTTTGTGAAATTCGTTGTTTCACATCGCAGAATTTCATTACAAAAATTACAACTACGAAAGCGAATTTTTCAGTAATTAAATCTACGTTCTGCATTTTTAACACAACATATTTATATGTAGTTCAACTCGATTCAATTGTTTAAAACTTAAAATTTATCTTGTTTTAACGTAATATAACAGCTGTTATTTTATTAATATCAGCCAATAGAAATTAGAAGCACTAATTTAGATTATATATTTTAGAGAAATAGAATACTTCAATTAGTAGAAAGCTCTAAAATTTGATATTTCAATCTACAAAATACCAAATAATAAAGATATGACACAAATTATGTCATATTAATAACAAAAGGCGTCGAAATTAGTAGAAAGCTCTAAAATTTGATATTTCAATCTAAAAATACCAAATAATAAAGATATGACACAAATTATGTCATATTAATAACAAAAGGCGTCGAAA